ATTTCAAATAGACCAATATGCGATACACTTTTCTAATCTTATACACATCTAGATGTGTATAAGAGACAGTTTTTAACCACACGTCTAATCTTACAAGCATTCAAACATTTATTTGCAGTTGATGAGATTTCGAAGAAAATGAAATCTTTAAAAACTCAATTCTGTCGAATACAAACAGGCACCATTTGTTTCAGTTGCCGGTAGACATTTTCAAAACAACAAAATAAAGTAGATACACTTTTTAAAATAATTACATGTCTTAATAAAAACATTACAGACATTTTGCAGTTGATGGGATTTCGCGAGGAAAATGTTTTTAGCCAATAGTTCCTTTCAGTTGCCAGTCGACATGAGCCAAGTTCCTTTCAGTTCCGTTCAGTTCCTTTCAGTTGCTCAAAGTCGATATGAGTTCAGTTGCGTTCAGTTCCTTTCAGTTGCGCGGAGTGCTCATGTCGACGAGTTGAGTTGAGTTGAGTTGAGTTCCTTTCAGTTCCGTGTCGACCTGAGCCTGCCTTAAGAGTCCCTTCGTGTCTTGTGCTACCTGGTCGTCCACCACAGTACATCGGGGTATCCCCCTGCTCGTCTCAAATGATGTACTAGGTTCTTTGTAGTGCCCACGAGCCAATGTATACACTGGGCCTACGGTTTATTGTCTTTATCCGAGAAGAGTTGTTCTACCACCAGAATCATAGGCGAGCGTGCCGTTCGAAAGTGCCAATATTATGGCTGTAGGTTTTGGTGCCCCTGATTACCGCTCAGCCATTTGACTATAAAACATAATGATGGAATGATAATGATAATAAACATAAAGATAGTGATAATGATGACAATGATGATAATGATAATATATGGGTAATAAATAGATGGAAGAATTTTTCATATAATAAAGAAATTTCATCAAATCAGGTGACATCATTGGATGGAAGGAATCTGTAATGAAAGAGGTTGAGAGAAAACATCGTATAGAACAGGAATTACTGATTAGTGTTGTGATGGACGAAGGCAGCGAGGAGCTCCGAGATGCTGCCAGTCAGATGAAGATAAACGAGCAACAGACACGATTGCAAGAACTAAAAACAGAAGCTGATGATCTTGACATTGTGACCAAAGGTGAGAGTAGAGTCTTTCGATTGCACGACGACGGTAGGACGTAGAACGTAATGACATCACTAAAATCACTTGCACATACGAGAACGTTAAGGTCACCTCATCGAGTAGATTCTGGAACGCAATTTGGCCAAATCTACGTATGCAGAGAACGTAGGATGCTAGGTAGGACGGTCACACATGAGTGATTCCGTTCTAGCGTAGTGTCGTCGCACAAATCAAAAGCTCCCTACTGGATTGAAAAGGGCCACCTTAAACACATAGCCCCACTCAGTACCTCTGTAGTGACAATCAAACAGCCAATCACAGAATGGAGACTTCAGTGTTTTTAACCAGGCAAATTTGGATGAATGGTCCATCATAGAACCCTAAAGGCCAACTCAGAGAGCGTCGTACGACGCAGCTCGACGCCATTTATTGTCGCGTCGGCTCTGTGTGAGTTAAACGCAGACGCGATGGTTGCGTCGGGGACAGTCGCGTCGTAGAATATTAAACATGTTTAATATTTCTCACGACGGCTCAAGACTGTCCCCGATGATGAGTCGCGTCGGGCTGTGTCGTACGACGCTGTCAGAGTTGGCCTTAACACATACTGTCACATAAATCAACTCATTTCATGATTAATAGATTTACACATTCATTTTCATTTTACTTTAAGCTCTGTCCACACTATCAAATTTTCTTTGACGAAAAACTATTGAATGCCCATATATAGTCATGATGTGCCTATATATGGTCATGATGTGATGTCATCATGACCATATTTAGGCATGTCACATGCTTTGTCAAATAAAATTTGATGGGCTGGGCAGGGCTTTAAATTGTAATTTTGAGTTTTTGTTCCATTAGAAATTAATAACCTGCATATATACCATGGTTTTTATCAGATGATATTGAGGAAAATAGATTGATTCTGGATGAATCTGGTGCCATCAAGACTGTGGTACGTAAACGCATCCTTGAGGGCAGCAAACTGAATGAAGAAATAACGCTTGACTATGTTGTGACTACTTTGCTGGCTGATCTTCAGGAAAAACAAGGCAGAGAAAGCGAGAAGATTATTAGCAGGCTTGAAAACATGGTGAGTTTTAATTCTTATTATTGGTATTAGTATTGTGCACCGACATCTGTCTAGAGGGATGATCATGGCATGTGGACTTCATAAAGCAGATATTTAACATTTCTGAATAAAATGATAATGATAGTAATGATGACAGTAAGTTATGTTAATTTGTTAGTAAAGGTATTGAAAATATGTTCATACCTTGCTTTTGATGTTCTATATGTAGAAGCAGCTAAGTTTCATGGTGAATTTGCATTTGCAAAAAGGAAGCAAATTTTTGGCCTTATTTCTTTGTGGGACAACAGTAGACTAGATTTAGACTATTAATATACTTATTCCTTTTCTTGATGCTAATTTTTCATTTATAATTTGGAAGTACTGAGTCCATTTTTTATTCTATCCAGAATGAAGAAGAAATGTCTCGCCTTCGCTTTGATGAGATAATGAAAAGAAAGAACCAGGAAGGCCGTAATGTCCTCCTTGTCTTCACTGAGTATGAGGGAATTGGGGATGAAGATGAACTGCTAAAGGTAAACAAATACAAAGAAAACAGTTTAAAAGAAAATCCCTGTTCTAAAAAAATATTTTATCATTTGACTTTACCAGCATTCTTGTCACATGACAACGTAAACAGTCATGTGACAGCTAGATATATTTTTGATTAATAACACATAACCCATCTGTTTTTTATCCTGCTGTTTTTTTTTACTTCTGTGTTTTGTCCTCACTTGTTAATGTAAGGATCCCAACAGATATAAGGTTCATTTTTTACCTTTCTTGAGTCATCCTTAGCATCATGTCCTTGTCTTCCCTGTCTTTGTTTGCTTCGTATTTTGTGTATGTAATGATACTGAATAAAACAATCAATCAATCAATCTGATTATATATTAAAACATAAATGCAATGTAAGATAACAGAAAGTATTAAGGGTGATATTGATTAAGATGATAATGACGACGATGACAGTGGAGATGATAACAATGATGGCAATGGGGGCTGTGATAATTATGGTTGTTTTTTTGCATAATAAATTTTTTCCTATATAAACCATTTTATTGTATGAAGATATTAAATTTATCTCACAAACAGGCCTTGGATAAGAAGTATGATACTCTGAAAGACAAACTACTCATGGAAAGCCTACGGAAACAGGCTGGAGATGCTGAATGGGCAAAGCTTAGTGAAGCAGAAAGACAAAAGAGATTGATGAGGTTAAAGCTTGAGGAAAGAAGGCTCAGGAAAGAAGGTAGTATCTTAGTAGTACAGGACGACATTTAATGACAATATTGGATGTTAATAATGTTTTTTAAAATAATAAAATAATGTTTTTAAAATAGTTCTTTTATAGTGTTTAGAATCTGTAATTAATTTGTATTTTGTATCTAATATCATATATCAGTGCTGTGGTAGAACAGTAATCCATGTACTGGACAGGCCACCCAGTATATATAATCAATGAAATAAATAAACAAATGTATAAATAAATACATAAATTTATTTTTAGGAAAACTGGACGAGCTACAGGCTTTGCTTGGAGACAATTTGATGGCGGAGAAAAACCTAAAGGCACTGATGGGAGAGAATCGAGCCAAACAGGAGGAGAAACTCAGGAGGAGGTTGGAAGCAAGAAGAAAAAGGATTGAACAAGGTAAAGGAATATAACAATAGACTAGTTTTTAGATGCTCTCATAACTTGTGGCATGCTGTGGACTGCTGGTGAAGGATTTGATCAAGTTTTCCTGTCCTAGCTTTCCTTGTTGTTTTTAGGCTATTTCATGTTTTAGATTATTTTATGTTGTCATATATTTAATAGAATATGCATGAGTTCCAATTTATGCAGCTCATGAGTCTAGTATTGTTTTAAATTTGATGAAATTTCCCACTGGACATCAAGACACCTTCAAGCATCATGTTTTTACCATAATCAAAATTGAAGACCCCTTTCTAAATCATTTACAGGTGACCAATTTAGCCAAGAAATGTGTTTTATCAATTAAATTCATGTAATAATAATAATAATAATAATAATAATAATAATTTTTTATATTGTTGTCCATTTAGGTTTGGATCCAGATGAAGATGATGATGGTTTATCAGAAGATGAGGATAATGACAGCTCAGCTCCACTTCTTGATCTTCAGAAGCGGTACGATGATGAGCGTGATGCTTTGATGGCAAGACTCCGCGGCATGGATAATCAATTCTTGAGTGAGAAGGAAAGACAGGCAGAACTGGCACGACTAAAGAGGGAGCAGCGTAGAGCTAAGATGGAGGAAAACTTCGAGTCCGCTGCCCTAGTACTGGGTTTGGCGGAACGGCATCAGAAGGCTCATGCTGAAAGGTGAGTGGTCTTCACAAAGATTCTTTTTAAAACTTCAACATTATAAAACCTTAATATTTACATGAATTATAAATGCATATGATTTCAGTATCGATTGTAATTAGTGAAGTCAATATTCCTTTTAATACCTAGATTTAAGAACGATAGAGCGAGGCAAGAGAAGCTTGCCAAAGAAAGAATTGAAGCACTGAAGAGGAAACGTAAACAAGGTGTTGCAAAAGAGGAAAAGGAGATTAGGGTATTGAATAATGGAGACAGGGCTGCTATGCAGGTGAGGTCATTATAATGTTTACAATGATGCTTATGATAATGATGCTGTTAATGATGGTGGTGGTGGCGGCGGTGACAGTGCATAAAGAACTCTTAGATGAAATGTTGTTGACCAACAGAGGTTCAACATATTTTCAACCTTTATTCTTGCCCTTTCTCTAGGATTCAGTGATGCAGATCTTAGAGAGGAAACATGCCCAGGAGCAAGAGCAAATACTGATACTGCTTCAGAAACAATATACAGAAGAGGAAATAACAATTGCAGCAACACTAAGAGAAGAAGAAAGAGAAGAAAGACTCCAAGAACTGATCAGGAAAAGGCAAGGCATGGATAGCTGTAAGTAAATATGTTCCCGATTCAAAGATCTGATAGAGTTGGAAACTGTTCTTAGGGATGTTCTTTCATGCACCATCACCTCTTTCCCCCAGAAGAACAGAATGCAAATTATTATAGCATACTATTTTTAAGAAGACACATTTAAGTCAATCCATAGTTAGAAATTATCAAGATTTTTTTGTTTTGCTACATAGCATTAACAGATGAGCATATGCAGATCCTAGAAGAGGCAGCACTTTTGAAGTTAACTTCCAGAAAGTACATTTTAACAAAGGAGAAAGGATCAGAGGTCACAGACGATGAGATTGTAGTGACCATCATGGCAGACCTGCAACAAGAACAGGACAAGGAGAGTGAGACTATTCTAGAATCATTACCAAATAAGGCAAGTTCGAAAGGATATGGTAATAAGAAAATTAAGGAATTTAGGTCTTCAACAAATGAGGATCTGTTCACTATGTTGACCCAGTAATAATACATACTATTTTTAAAAAGATAAACATCCGGAACATCTTTATATAAGTGACTGTTATCTAAACCCAATAAGAGAATGCTTTGACAGAATATTTCTTTAACATTTCAGGAGCTCCAAGTGCTGGTTGAACTTCAAGAAAAGCACCTGACTGAAATCAAACATCACAAGGTAGAGAACGTGGCCATCACACTCACAAGAATCGATAGATCAAAGAAAACGGATGACGGTGAGATCGTTGAAGCGTTAGAAGGAAAGTACGATGCATTGAAGGACAAGATCCTCTCAGAGGCTCTGATGCAGCAAGTGGGTGAGGCTGAATGGGCAAGTCTGTCCGAGAAGGAACGTCAAACTAGGCTAGTCAAGCTGAAGTTAGAGGAGAAGAGGCTTAGGCAGGAAGGCAAATATGATGAAGCTGCTGCCCTGCTTGGAGATGCTATCAAGTCACAACAGGCCTTGGAGCTTCTGATGGGAGATACGAAAAAAGCACAGGAAGAAAAGATGAAGAAGAGACTAGAACTGCGTAAAAAAAGGGTAGCTGAAGGTCAGTATCCTTTGAACTCTATTTATCCCATACACTACTTTTGAATTATAATTAAATTTTCATTTTCATTAAAACAATAACCATTCATAGGTTTATGAATCTAAGGCCACTATTCACATTAGTTCTGTATATCGAGTAGAGAGGATATAGCAAAAAATGACCAATAGGAATATATTCATACATTGATAGTTTCATAATAGATAACATAATTATTTTCATTCCATTGGCATTAGACTGGATTCCAGTTCATAAATTTTGTCTTAATCAGTGAAAACGCTTAAAAATAAATAAATTTTGGCACCAATGGCGTTCCATACTACTTATTTGCATGGAGTTCCATACTATGCTTTTTCTGAGTATGTAAAAGCGCATTAAAAGGTTTTTTCATAATTCTTCTAATGTAGGTATGAGTGAGGCTGAAGCTGATAAAATTGAAAAGGATGAGATTTTGCAAGAGGAGGAAGAGCTACAGAAGAAAAAGCCAAAGAATATTTTAGAGGAGTTGGACAACAGACTGGATGATGTATGTGATCAAAAAAATTAATTTTGTGTACTAAAATGTTCCAACACCAAATAGAAAGCACTTGTTATGTGTATGTAAAGTAGATTTTAAAAATGTTCAGGGTAGCATCAAGAGTATTCTTCAGTCAGCAGATTAAAGATGATTGTTTACTAGATTTCAGCAGCTTTGCTCTGATCTCTTTTTTACTTATTTTACTTATGGATTCTTTTCTCACCCCACCCTCTCTCCTGCTTTAGCCTCCCCTTGAGTATTACTGTATTTTTTATTTGTATTTTTGCTTTAAACTGCTGCATCTAAAAATTGTGCTTAATGTTTTTTTCTGTAGGAACGTGAAGCACTCCTAAAGAGAATGAGAGAGGGCGATGAGAGATGGAAGAATGAAAAAATGAGGCAAGCTGAGCTGGCTAAGTTGAAAAGGCAGCAGAGGATGGCACGACGGGAGGACCAGTTTGAGGCTGCTGCCCTTGTGATGGGGCTCACAGCTCAAGCGGAAGATGCGTATGTTATGATAATTGTTAATTTAAATAATGATGATAATAGCGAGGATGACATGATGATGATGATAGTGATGATGATAATAGTAATGATGATAGTGATTACAGTAGAGATGTTGATATGTTAATGATAGTGATGAAATTACGGGAGCTGAAATACAGACAAAAGGTTGTTACTTTATGAGATTTCCATAGTGTACAACTTACATTTCTTCCAACAGAGAGAAAACCAAAGAACTAGAACGCAAAAGACAAATGCAACTTGCAAAGGATCGCCTTATGCAAAGAAAGAAAATGCTAAAAGAAGCTCAAGAGAAGGTGGAGGACAAAGCTCCAGTACCCATGCCAGAAAATCCAGATGACAGAGTTGCTATGGAAGATGCTGTGATCAAAGAGATGGAGATCAAGCATGCCACCGAGAGGGATCTTTTGATCATGGTTCGTTGGCAAAATTGTAGATTTTCATGATTGTATGTAGTTTCATGCTGCTTAAAACAGAATATCCCTCCACATTGTATAACCTTTCAATACATATATGACCCCATGATAAACAATTAATTATTTTATTTGTCCAACTAGTTACTTCAAAAGCAAGATAAAGGCCAACGAAAGTCAGCCCAAACTATGACAGAGGAACAGCGGCAGAAGAGGATTTTGGATCTGAAGGAGCAGAGAAGGCAGTGGCGGGATAGTGGTCCAATGAAAGAGGACGAAGCAGAACAACTGGAGATTTTTAATGTGTGTAATAAGTATTATTTGCTAGCATGTAAATGGGATTGATTATATCCCATAGGCTCCGTTCTCGCTGTCAGATTTTCTCTGATAGCTTCTATGATTTGCCATATATGGACATAACAATGTCATATCACACCTATGAATCTCAGTCATTTCTCTTATATATCTGTATTAATTGGACAGAGCCTAACTCAATATTTAGGAAAAGTTTTTTATCATTTTTTAATAGAAAACTGTACCATATGCAATGGAAATGAGAATAATGGAATTAAAGACCACTAATCCGGATGCCACGGATAATGAGGTTGAGGTAGTGCTCCTGGCGGATCTGCAGGAACAGCAAGATAAGGAGTCGGAATATCTAATGAAGGACTTGAATGCAAAAGTAAGGAGATTGTCATGTTTCTATAGATGTATTGATTTTTTTGCATATAATGTGATACTGTGGGAATATATTACACAAGTTTATTTATTTTTTCTTGCATTGTTGAATATTCAAAGGCAGTATAACAATGTTTTTTATGGATTTGTGCTTGTATTCACTTTAAAATGAGAATAATAATAAAGAAAATGTATGTCAATGCATCCAAACTGTACTTACATATCTGTTAAATATGTAATTGGAGTGGTGTTCGATGCTTGCTGTTTTACCTGTGACAGCAGGAGATTTTTCTCCCTAAATTACCTCCCTAAGCCTCATTATGAGATTGATTTAAGATAGAGGAAGTACAACATAGGCAAGGACTGACAAAGTGTTGTACTACCTTAACAAAAAAAACATAATCATTTGCAATATAGAAATATAAAAAAACATTAAATATGTACACATATGTAAACAATTTCATTAAAACAGACAGATATACTGACCCATCCACCCCCTATGATGTACATATAACCAAAATAAACAAGTTATCATTTATTTAGTACAGAGTACAAAGTATTGCCATAAAGTTAACTTACATTAAGAGATTGGATGTGCTTAGAAATCTGTGTTTTGAAATGGTTGAAACTATGAGAGTTTTAAAATTTTTCAGCAAGTTATTCTAAAATTTAGGTCCAGTGGGTGAACAGTATATTTATGCTGAACAGGTTACCCATTATAAACAAGACAAATTAAATTAAATTTTTTATTCAAGATTCAAGATTGTTTAATTGTGTACTTTTGGAAAATCAGTTTGCACATCACATTGCAAAACAAAGTGCAGCTTTAATACAAAACAACAACAATATAATTATAATTAGGTCCTAAAACTCTTATGATATTTTGATTAATAATTCTAATGGATAGTGGTACGAACAATTTGAGATATCTGTTTGTTCTACAGGTTTGTGATTTTAACCTTTTACCCAAGGGTAGCCAAGTAAGGATGCGTTTAGTGGGTGGGAACCATCTGTTAAGATACCCTTTACTTTATCAATAATTTTAATCTCACAGATATCATCTAGTTTTCTGTTTTCTTGTAGAATTTTTCCAGCCTGATTCATGATACTCTGTTATAATGATATTCTGTTATAATCGATTTTTCTTAAATTACCAAACCATACATTACTTCCCAACAAAAGAGGGCTTTTAATAACAGAAGAATATAAAAGCCTCATTATACATGAATCTACTTTGAATGACCGCAGTTTCCTTAAGAAATGGAGGTGCGTCATACCATTCTTAACAATTTTATCACAGTGTTCCCCCCAGTTTAACTTATTATCAATCTCTAAACCTAAGTATTTATGATGTTTAACAATCAGAACATAGTTAACAATTAAGTACACACTCCATTTTCTTCACTTGATTCTAGGTAAATTTATTTTTCAGTTGAATATCATATTGTTATTTTTAAAGACATAACAATTAAACTCTTTTCTAGTCGGTCAGTGTGTTAAAGCAACTAAAGCTTGTGCAGTATTTGGCAAGGGCAAATGCTTGGAATGACAACGTAGCTAGAACGCTACTAGAGGTGAAAACACAGTTGGATGCCATCTCTGAAGAGGAGTTGTTCAAGGCTATCGAGAATAAATATGATGCACTAAGAGACAAACTTATCATTGATGTAAGTGCGTAGGCATAGGTGTTGTTGGGGAGGGGGTCCTATTGGATTGTATACGTACTTGCGCATTTTGACAGGGGGGCTCCATGATTAGATGAGGGGAAGCTAGCTTGCAAGTAAGGTAATTTGATGTGATTTTTACTACTTTACCATGATTTTTTTGCTTTTAACATTTTCCATGAAGGGAGGGGCCAACTATTTTGTTTTGTGTAGCGTGCGCACCCACTATATATATCACAGCCTGTGTAACATTTTTCCTGGTAAGATTACCAAATCCGTATTGTCAGATTAGCAAACTAAGAACGAATAGTCAGGGTGGTTTTTTCCAAAAGAGTAAAATCAAATGCAAACCAATATATTCTAATGTAATATTTTTTAGGCTTTGATGAAGCAGATGGGTGAAGAGGCATGGGCTAAGCTGTCAGAGAAGGAGAGACAAGCTAAGATAACAAAACTTAAGCTACAACAGAGAATTCTATGCAAAAAGGGCAAGTATGACCAGGCACTGGCTCTGCTGGGAGAGGACATCAAGAACCAGAAAGGTATGCTAGGCTTCTGTTGACATTTTTGCCAGCTTAATAGCCATGGTATATAAATTTACATAAATTTGTTACATTTTAATGATAATAATAACAATAATAACTTATTGTAAAATAAAGCCTGTATTCACCATCAATAAGCGCTCATAGTGTCAATGTCGATGACAAATGTAGGTAAAGTGCCTTATCCAAGGACACAAACGTAATGCACAGTGAGGGTTCGAACCCCTGACCTTGAGGTTGAGAAACTGAAATGTAACCGCTGATGATATGATCGATAGTAGTAATATGGATATGTCAGACAATTCACTATCTGCCAATGTTTTAACTGTCGCCTTTAATCCCTTTGTCCAACCTGGCTCTAAAACTATCCCAAAAGTTATTTTCTTAAAGGGACGACCGTGATATAGGTGCTTGTCATTTGGCACATTTCCTCCTGTATATGTGAGAAGTATATCAAATGAATAAAACTTTACCCATATTTGTGTTTTGCACAGAATTGGCTTCGTTGCTTGGCTACACCAAGGCTGAACAGGAGGCCATTGTGAAGAAAAGACTTGAAAGGATGAAAGAGCTACGAGAACAGAGAGAAGCTGCAGGAGAACCAGTGAACGAAGAAGAACTGGAGCAAATAGTACTGGAGGAGGAGGAGGAAGAAGAGAGACAGAAGAAAAGAGTAAGCAATGTGCTATATTAATTGGTCGTTTAGTAGTCTTACGATCCAGTTATATATTTGGCAACAATGGCAAAAGGTTACCAATAGCAAATATGCATCGCAGCTTTCTGTTATAAGTGCCACACCCTCTGACTAATGCTGTAACCTTGGTGCACATAGCATCGACCTGTAAGCACCTGATCCTCATGCAACACCATGGTCAGTACCCCAGGAAACAATCCCATCAGCTTAACTTTCCTTCTGAAGTATTCACTAACTAACAGTAGTTAGCCTAAGTTAACAGTAGGAGTGGTGGGGCTGCTTGCCTTCCACTCTTAGAGTCCTGGGTCAATGAACCTTTCTGCTAAGCCCCGCTCCTTGAATATTGTTGCTCAAGTCCCACACAATGAGGGGGCTTTCGATTGCACAACGATGGTAGGATGTAAAACGTAATGACGTCACTAAAAGTCATCTGGGCATGCGAGAATGTTAAGGTCGCCTCCTCAAGTAGATTCCTGAATGCAATTTGGTCAAATCTATGTATGCAGAGAATGTAGGACGCCAGGTAGAACGGTCACGAATGAGTGATTTCATTCTAGTGTCGCTTTGTCGCACAAATCGAAAGCTCCCTAGTGTTGAAACATACACAAACATGTGCATTTGTGGTACAACATGCGTGCTTTTTACACACACAGGTATTTCTGGCCCTGTTCTTGATTGTCGTTAAGAAAAAGAAAATAACTCTACTCTCTTAGCCTCATAATGAGTTTATAAAGCCTAACTGGCCCATGTGGGAGAACACTTAGATTTCTACTGATCAGGCATAACGAGAAAATATGACATAGGCATATTTCAAGCTTGGTCCATCTTACATCCAAATTACATCCCTTCACATTACACATACAATTACTGTATACAATTACCTTATCATCTTATAAATACTGTAATTGTGATAACAGTATTTATAATCTTATTATAATTACTGTTATCACAATTACTCAATATTTCTTTTGCATTTTCTAGAATGTGTTACAATACCTTGAGCAGCATTTTGAAGATGAGAAAAAAGCACTGATTGCTTTACTAAAAAAGAAACAAGATCAACTTCAGAATGAGAGGGAGCGCCAACTGGCTCTTGCCATGCTTCGTCGAGAACAGCGTCTAATGCGTGAAGAGGACAATTTTAGAACAGCTGCCCTCATTTTCAGTCTTGGACAACTTCATGAGAAGAACCGACGGGAGAAGTAAGATATAATTTTTTTCTTTTTATATCCATTTTCTAATTTTCAGCAGACAAGGGAGGATTTAGTTACACAGTAAGGGACTCTAAACCTAAATCTCATGGTTAAAAGCCTGAACTGCAAATGCTCTGCAATTGCATGTGTGATCTCACCAACATTTTTGTACTTTTTTTTCTAATTGCTACAAGTCAAAACACACAGAAATTTAATCATCCTCTTGTGTAATTATCCGTGGGTGTACGGGCATGACATGGGTCAGGTAATATATCTGACTTTTACAACACTTTTACACTCATCCTCTTTAAATACCTGTAAAAATTGTGGCATGTTCATGTTTTACTTAACAATTAATAAGCTCAATGACGCATATACCCCACTTTCTTTTGTCTCTGGATCTCTGAATCAATTGTAAATCAATAGACATGGATGTACACTGTGAAAGTACTAAGGGCTCACGTACGGCTTTGATGACTTCTCGTTTTATTAACTTCTGTTTACATATAAAAATATGTACATTACTCGTAATATAAATGCTTGATTTACAGTGATGAAAATATGTTGTTGTTAACATTATTAATGCTTAATATGTAATTATAATTTGAAAACCAATTGATAGTGATCAAAAACATTTAAAATAACAAAAACCATTATACAATAATATGAAAAAAATAATAACAGATTATATAGAATTTAGAAATTAAAAAAGTGTTGACAATGTGCTATATGAACGGGGTGTTATTATTTTTAATTATAGCACCTTAGATAATATAATTGTCCCTTGTTTTTGCTCATTCTTTCCTTATATTACAGTTTATTGCATATTATATTCCTACTGGGTTTTATAACATCTTGGATCTTGAATCTCCTACTTGCATTGTATTCCATTCCATAAAGTATATGTTTATTCATTTATTGATTTATGTATTTATTTACTATTATTATTATTATTATTATTGTTATTATTTTTATCAGGTATATATCTTAAATTAATATATATTTTAATTATAATGTTGTAAATGAAGGTCAGCCTTAAAGTCCTTTGAACTTATTTGACCTCCATCCACACACATGTTTATTTTAATCTTAATATTGGTGTGTGTGGAAAATTAAATAAACAAACAAACAAACAAACATGTTTTAATTGAACTCATCTTATTCTCAATAATGAATATATTTTCAATTTAATTAATTCTGACATTGAAAAGGCTGTGTATTAAGACGTTGTTCAGAATCTAAGGTAGTAGGTGACCCTAGAAAAGTTTATATCCATTGGTGGTAGCACAGGCTCCACCAATAATTTGCCAAATATGTTTGTATATTGATTGTGGCAAAAGAAGAGATCACCAGTTGTCTGTTATTTATTGTAATCAAAAGGTATTATAGGAGACTACATTATAAAAAAAAAATCACAAAATTAGTCTCCCAAAACGTAAAAATTGCAAATTGTTTCCCCTGGCCACCAACACCAGCCTCGGTTTCTCACTCTGTTGCTTACTGGGCCCACCCAATGTTCAAAACATTCTCTCAATTTCCGATATTTGTTAACTCGTTCCGGTGCATAATAGTAATCACTTTGACAACAGATTGAAACAATTTGATGCTGTTAACTTCTGTATGATTAGTTAATAACACAGTTAAACATCCGATTCAAATATCAATAATGAAACTTAAGAAGAATGATATTAAGCCATGCGATAATAATCAGTGTAGAGGTGCATAAAAAATTAGACTATGGTAACGTCATATGAATAATTAGGTGTTGTTAATCAGACAATTATAAGAGTAACTATCAATTCATTCAAGCTCCTCACATATATTCGTTTAAGTTAAGGTGACTTAATCAAGACTTTTTAATACCTTTTGTAGCAAACCCGCCGCCTGCCAATAATAATGATTTTGAATAAAAATTAAATTTTATTTTTGCCCAATAAGCGTACCCACTGCCACAATAAAAAAAACAGAAATAAAAAAAAAAGTAAAGTGTTTCTTTATTTTTATTACGCCCCTCGTTGCCTTAAAATCTCTGAAAATAAGATATGTATATTTCTTGCTAATTACATACATTTATAGCATTTAACCATCCCATTACTACACTGTTTACATTCAGCAATCAAATTTTTATTTTTACATTGTCCTCTGTCTGGGCTGGATGTTTTTGACAATACCATTTGCTAAATAAAAAAAACAATATTTTTTTTTTTCTGCCCTCCTCTGACAATCTTTAAAAAAATAAGTTCCTGAAACAAGATATAAAAAAGTCTCGCCTTATTTCGAATGAATATTAATCAATTAGTAGAGCTCCGCATAGTACACTATAGGAAAATTATTGTACGAAGGTTAGATTTAATGCTTGAAAAAATTTTGAATGCATTAAATGTAACCTAAGTATAATAATTTTCCGTTTAGTGTACGATGTATGCTCTACTAATTGCTGTATAACCCAATCACCGTCTTTTAATTTTAGTTTTTTATAACCAACTTTTGTAGCAGCCATCAGTTGCTATAGTGATATGGTCAATATACATGTGCGTATTTACATTTAGCTGTGCGTATGCTGATTTTTGCTCTAACATCAACAGTACAGTACGGATATGATGAATAACAATTGTGTTAGAAAGAACTTGTTTGTAATGCTCTATTGATTGACTTTCTTCAAAGAAATAAACATTTCAGCATTCAAGAGGGAATACAGTCACTGATGTCCTTTTTGGTCGGTGCATGCAGACAAGTAAAATCGTGCGATGCCTAGTAATAGTAGGAGGAGGCCCGGGAAGCCTGCCTGGTCGTAAGCCTACATCTAAATTTGTTCCTTGAGTCTTTAAAATAGGTCTAGAATATTTCTATTAAATGTTCAGTTTGTTGAGTTTACAAGGGTCCATTTATTCACTAAATTCCTTAATTGTTTTAAAATTTTTTTAATTACTTAATATTCAATTTGAAGTAACTTTCTTCAGGTTCTAATTAAGCTTGTTTTACGAAAGTAATTTTCAATTACAATTTATTTTTTATCGCGGTGCGCGATGTATTCGTGGTGGTGACGAAAAAATGAGGAATTTCTTTTTGCACACGAACCTTAAAAAAATCAAGCCGAGCGTCCAATAATACAAAAATTATTGGACACTGGGGAATAGCCAAATAACATTGGGGGTTACAGTGATGACGTCACGATTGACTTATATGACTTATAATATATATTACTTTTTAACCCAATACTTAATTTTGAAAACCATTATACTTTATGTATATAATAATAATAGTAATGATGTTGATGATTTTGATGGTGGTGGTGGTGGAAAGCTTATTATTTATTCTGTGAAACTAAATTCTGTAACAGCTTCCAAACGAATATAATTAATGAACTTAATGTATTTAGCCTTGGTTCACAATTGAAAATAGTATAAAGCATTTCTCCATTGTAATGTCTGATCAATATTTTTTAAGTACTGTCATTTTAATTTTAAATTTTGTTCATCATTAATGATAATGAAGAGCTCTTAAAAACGTTTAAATGGAGAGAGAGTGGCGTCAGCTCACAAGACGACCAAGGTTTTCTGTCGTCCGACGCCGTGTGAGTTTATCGCAATAAAAATATTTATTTCCTGATTCAACCAAAACTATTATGGTTGCAGTTCCTAATGTTGGCTGAAGCATAATTCTTACCGTCCTACAGAGGAATTTACAGATATAATTCTTTGATCGTACACTATGAAATCTGTCCTTGACTCACACCAGTAATTCTCTGGTACTATGATTGGAGGCCCAGGCAGTTCCTCATTCGGACCTGTTCAGAAAAGCTTAGGACCTAGCACTGTATAAACGGTGCTAATAAGCAAGTATTAATAATATTATTATGTATTGGAAAGGTCACCAAGTATATTATATTTTAAAAGTTTGTTATGGTAACTTGCATGCTTCATTGATTTTCTATCACTGGTATTGATCTTAGATGCAAGTTCTAAGTTATTGATCACACAATGACGAAATATGTAAAGGTGCAAAAATGTATATATTGATTTTGGAGAGATAGCTTACTGTTAGTAATAAAGAGTTATTAACAAAGTCTAGAAGTGGATACTTAAGTATGGGCTGAAGAAATTAAAACATTAAAGTGAAAACATGATGTTTTGTCTACCGGGAGATGATAAAGAAGTTAATTGGATGAAGCAACCATGGACCAAATTTACATATTCCTCAAAAAAGGGAAAAAATAATCCGAAAGAGGATGGTTCGTCTTTGTCCTTGAGTTCTACGGACTCAGGTTTTTCAAACTGTTCAGGTTTTTCTCACACATCTAGATGTTTTTCAACACTGAGTTTTGTGAAATTAGGAAGGGATGGGCAAGCAGAGTTGGATGAAAGGTAATGTTGATTTAATATGGTAGTTTTTATTGTAAAGTCAAGTTTTTTTAGGGTCGTATTTCTCAGTTACATAAGTGATCTCTTAGTAGGGCATACAGAATATTCGCCTATTCATACAGACGTAGATGTGGATACACAAAGCTCCACAACAAATCAAAGGTGGATATGATCAGGATTTTTGCATTTTTTTGACAGTATTAAAAGTGAAAATGAGCTCTACATTAATTATGACATCATCTTCTGAGACTGCAACTTCAATGACCCCCATGTAACTTTTGGTTATTGTTGGTATAATGAGACGTAGATTTTTACAGAATATGTTCAGAAATTGGCCTTTCATTTCAAATAGTGTGGAGTGTATTCTTATTTTCATTTGTTAATCAATTTGCACGAATGGAAAATGGAATAAATAAATGAATGAATGAATAAAGGCATGAATGATATTGGAAGAATGAAGTAATAAATGGACGAATGAATGAATTCTTAAGGAATGAATGAAGTAATTAATGGTGCTTTTTTGCAGTTACCTGAAGAACCAAGAAAGGCATAAAAAACTAGCACGGGAACGATTAAGAGCAAAACGAAGGAGAAAAAAGGACACCGGATACAGCAAAGCAGAACTTGAAATTAAACTGAAACAAGAAGAAGAAGAAAATGCAAAGTTGGATGCTAGTAAAGGCATGTCCATCGAGGACAGTAAGTCAAATAACCTTCATAAGTATAAAGTAGAACCCCTATTTGGGGACTCCTTCCAAGGACCGAAAAAAGTGTCACCTTAATAGGGGTGTCCCCTGAATAGAGTTGCCATTTTGTTAAAAGATAAATTTCCTTCACTTCATGTTTAAAAAATGTCCCCTTAAGAGGGGTTCTAGTACTGTGCTTAGTTTATTTTAGTCAGGCCTGTGTTTAGTCCCAATATATGACATTTTGCCAATAATTTCATCTTTCATGATGGCCTGAAATTCCTAATCTGGTAGTCCAGTATCTTTGCGATTTCTACCTTTTTAACTCCTGCTAAACCACCTGCACTCAAAGATGATGATTGCAGGTTGATAGTATTTACATAATCATATTTGGCATCTCTAGGACGGATGGCTTTACATACGGACGTTCTGGACGAAATGGAAAGAAAACAAGTTAATGAACGTGACACCTTAATGCAGTTATTGAAATCTGTAAGCGGTGACACTGCTGGTATTGAACGGGTGAAGAACATGTCCAATCAGGTTGGTTGAATCGTAAACGTTTGATTTTTGATAAATAAATTGTAACTTTAAGTTACTGGTTTTTCCTAAGACTTACGTTTTTCATGTAAAATAGTCTTTGGTGATACTGCATAACTGACAATTGCAATTAAGAGAGAGCAGCGTACCACAGTTTGTTAAACTGGTGGTATCCATTTTCTGTGCACTAAAATGGGGTGATGATTGGAGATGAAGAACTAACTAACCACATTTTTAAACCAAACATTATAAATTAGCCTCTTGTGGTGGATTTTGTATTTGCTCTTTATAAAAGTTATTGGCAAACAAATAAGACGCAATAGGTAAGTATGTTACAGTAGGTTACAATCATATAATACTAAATGACAATACAACATTAACTCAACTTCTGATTTTTTTTAATGGCGATAATTTAATCCTTTTTTAGGAAATAGCAGAGGAAGTAGAAAAGCTACGTGAAAAACGACAAGTCTGGCGTGAAGACGCATCCCTCGATCTGGAAAGTGTGGATTATTTCAAGCTGTCGCCTGATGGGGTAGGGGAACACTTCGCCTATATTGCCGAGAGGCAAATACAGCAAAACAAGATATTAAAAGAAGCAGTTTTATTAAAAGTTGAAGGTAATTTAATGTTGTGTTTGGGATTTTCTGTGTACTGGGAGACAATCTCCTACTCTTTTTTTATATATTTATACAGGTTGAAGTTTCCAGCTTATCTCAGATGGTCTCAGAGCCCTCTTAAATTAAATAATAATATGCTCTACAAAACAAAGTTTCAGTACATGAGGTGCAGATGTTTTTTAGGCTTGGAAAAAATCCTACCCTACAATACTGTACATCCCTTTAAGTGTAGGCCTACAGAACTATTTAAATTCTTCATATTGTTGTTTAGTAGTAGTCTTCATATTGTATTTTTGGTAGTAGATTGATGCTTTAAAAAGTTGAAAAATGAGAGAGAAAATAAATGACGAAAATACAATCAATATATATAAAAATCAAGTATTCCATAACTATGCCTAATGGAGCAAACTGTCTGTAATGAAGTTGGCTGTGATATGGAAAAATTATTTTTTAATTTGCATATGTTATTCTTTTAATACAAAGCATCAACTGAGTAATAATTGATGAATGATAATAGGACCTAGGTCTTAATGTATGTTTAGTTGTAGTTCTGACATCACATTTCAGAGAACTGCTGAAGAACTGAAATTTCAACTGAATATGTTTTTTTTTTCCAGATACAAGAAGACATTTAGTTGCTTCAAAGAAAAACAAAGAGATCAGTAATGTAGACGAAGAAGTTCCTGCCATTCTATTGGCCGACTTGCAGGAAAAGCAACACGCTGAAGTGGCTGATGTGAAATCGATCCTTACGGCAGATGCGGTAATTCCCGTTGAATGCACCTTTAATTTATTCTTTTCTCTCAAATCTCTTAAAACACTTAAAATTAATCAAAAATGAACCAGTGAGCTACACAAAGTTTTTAATTTATCTTTGTGTGCACATCTTGTGATGTACACATACACCCCACCCCTCCCCCCACATGCACACACACACACACACCATCCATAACACAGGCAAATGCATCTACACACACCAAACAAAGACAAATACACCACACATCCTCTTTTTGTAAGTACTATATTCAGGCTCCAAAGAAGTAGTGGAAAATAATTTAATTAAATTAACTCAAATATAAATATTCCAAGGATCTACCAACTAGAATTATTTTTTAGAAATAATGATGTAATCTTGTCAATTAATTTTCCTACTCAAAAGAATGGGCACAAATATAGTACAAGTTATATCATTATCAATTTATATTTTTCAAATAAAATAAAGAAAAAATAAACAATTGCATACATCACTGATATTACTTACAGAATTGATGTAATCATCTTGGAGATCCTTAATCAGTTTCTTGTTTTTCCAGGACGAAGAACTTCTGGTAAGCTTAAAGGAGGACCAGAGGAAGGGTCGTCGTGAGGGCTGGATGGATAATCTATCTGGAGGCCTGCTGGGTGTGAAAGCAAGGGGAAATGCTGCTACTTTAACATCCATGACAATTGATATTGCTAATCAAGAGAAGATGTTACACAATATGGATGATGAATTAGCAAAGGAAAAGGAGGCTGCTCTTGAAGGTAGAACTTGTTTCTGTTTTTTAGTTAAAACTGATATTTGTATTGTATATTTGATATTTATTTTCTGGTTAAAAACACAACATGAACATAGAAAATGGCAAAAAATAATCAGATTAGAATCTGAATAGCCTGATAAACTACCAATAGAGAACTATGTATCTTTTCCAAAAGTTCTTCATATTACTTAACACTAAAACAATGAGAAATGTGATTTTTTTTAATTCTTTAAACGACAAGATATTTGTGGTTTTAGATGTCATCTATTTGTTGAGAGATCATATTATAAATGTAATTGATAATAGAAATTGTTATATAGGACCTACTGCTAGATTTGAATTTTGAATAATGATGTTCAAACAAACAATATGTTTTCTTTCAAAATTCCTCTGGTCAATATATAGGTCCAGGTAGGATATGATTATCTTTATATACATATCATTTTCATTCTTTCATCTCATCACATTATTAATATTATTAATATCAATTTTGTTTTTTGTGTGTCACTAATAAGACGTCTTCAGGTCTCACTAAAAGGATCATTATAAAGCATGACTTTAATTGATCACATTCTTTGCATGTGTTATAAACAAACCTCACATTGTTTTTTTCGTATGGATTGATTACATTTGATACACACGTGTAATGAAGTGACGTATGCACATACCATGGAAACTATAGTATATCATGCGTCTGGAGTAGCCAGCTTCAATAGGCACATTCCGCGAAGTTTGTTTACAGCCGGTCCCGTGACATATACTGGGTATAACTAGGCATCAGTGTGAAAGTATAGGAAAAGGTATTGTTAAGATTGAGAAAACACCTGCCTACCATTAACATGAGAAATAACTGGCAAGGAAAGGCACTACAATTGTTCAAAATATTGTTCATTTACATTTTCTAACACTATCGGTGCTTTGGAATTTATGTGATCCCTCGTAAACCCAATTAGCTAGCCTAGAAATCGTAGGTGTCAAGATCGCAGTTCGTGGATTGAAGACTCTCGTGCATACCTAAACAGGCCATGGATATGCAGGGGCCTAGGTCTAGCATTTCTCAATGCTTGGGGCCAGTATCTTTCGGAGCATTAGCAAACCGTTATGGCAAAATTCTCAAGTTCAAATTCCAATCAATTTGTTATAGTTTACTGGTATTCCAACCAACTTTACGCAACATCAAATGTGTGCTTTACAGTAGAAACACACCGAAGAAGCCACACGTTTTCCTATTACCAATCGTCACTCACGCTGCCTGTTTACAATTTATGCCCACTATATGTCACATGACCAACCTAGCAGAATGTGTCTATTGGTTGGAAGGAGAATGAAATAAAAACACCTGTATGTGAATCATGCTATAATTATCATGGTTTGTTGCAATCATTGATGTCAGCACATTCCAGTATGTACTTTGCCTCTCTGTTCTCAAAAATCAGAATGTTGCATCTGTAACCAGACCCACAACCAGCATTCCTCAAGGGGGGGAGGGGAAGAACGGGCGTATTCCCTATTAGAGCCACAGGTCCGGGAAATGCTGAGGAACCCTGGGTGGATCCAGTAGGAGATTTCTTGTTTTCTTGTGGGGTCAGAAGACAAAGCTAAACTTATTTTTACATGTAAATTATGAATATCATCTTTTAATACTAATAAAAGTGGTGGTGATACTAATAATGGGTGGTGGTGGTTTAAAGGGAACTCATCAGAAACATAGGAACCACCTGGTTACAGACCTGAAAACCTCCTATGAGTATTTACGTGGTTTTTGATTGATTAAGCATTTTTTACCTTCATCTGTTTGGTTTTTCTTAACAAATCAATCATTCATTAACTCATACTTTTTTTCGGTCTATAAAATCACTTGATGATCATGCTATCAGAACTTGGGTTTTTTACATTTAATTTGAAATAGAGTTTAATTTTAGGCTCATATGTTTGAAATGAAATAACTTTACTAATCTTTGTTTACTAATTTCATTAATTTACCATCATCAAGTTGTCATTTTTTTGTGGATCAACTTATACAAAAAGGGATTAAATTATTGGTCTGTACACCAGAAAAAAATCTTCAAATCTCATACTTAATCTAGTTTCCAACAAGTGTACAGAAGACCGTTGATGTACACAAGATTAACAGCTTAAAAGCCAAATCCAGCATGATTTCATGTAGGCTGCACACACGAAAATCGTTTTTAACCACAATCTCACTCAGACAATGCAGTCAGCATTGCATATCGAGCAGTCACACCAACACGAGTTGAATTTGTAGGCTTTGACTGAAGGTTAACGTAGTGTGCATCAGGTTTCCGAAAGATGGTATGAAGCTGCATAAATTAGAATTGAACCAGGTTTCCAAGGATCTCTGTGGTTCACTACTCATAAATTGTAGCGACTTTTTATTTTATTTACAAATCTACAAGCATATGACATCAGTGACAGGATGCCTTAAATGGTATATGCAGTTTTTAAATAAGCCAAAAACATGCATCATGCATAGGAATGTTGACCCCCACAGGGCTCTGGTTAAACAAGCCACAACAAATAAAACAGTTAAATCTGTTTTAAATAATACGAAATATAAATAATTAATTAGTTAATTAATATAATGTTGCTTGATGTTCTAACTTAGGTAATGCCAAGAAAGGAAGTGGACAGATTGATCCAGCTGAGCTAATTGCTCAACTAGAAAGACAACATGATGCTAAGAAAAAGGTAAATTCAATGTTTTCAAACATCTTTAACTGGAAAGGTGGTCTTGCAAACAAGGCTCTATATCTTGTACAAAGGCACAAACCTAAATGTAACTAAATACTATAACTAGATGAGCAACAATGATAAAAACTTATTGTGCTACAATATAAAAAATTACCTGATTTTAAAAAAAAACTGATTTGTTATTAAATTAATCAATAATAATCTGGGTTCTTAAATTTTGTTATTCTGTGCAGTATTTTTATTTAAGCTTGCTATTTTTATATGTGTGTTTGTTGTCTTGTTTCTGTTTGGAGAACCTCTCGATAGTAATTGAATGAAATTAGATTGATGTCTATATTTATAATGGAAATAATAGACGTATCAAAATTTTTAATTAAAATTGGATAGGATATTGGCAAGTTATAAAATATAGATATAAAATATTTTCATTATTCATTTATTCATTTTCTTTCTCTATTTTTAAGGCCATGGAAGAACAGCTAAATAGGCAAAAAGCCCTGCAAAAGCAACGCCTTGAGGCTCGTCGGAAAAAGAAGGACGACAAGGACTTTGAGGCCGGTGCAGCATTTGCCATGATCCAAGGGGCAGAAGAAACGAAGGCAATTAAAGAAGAACAACAACTGAAAGAAAAAGACAAACAAAGCAACCTTGTAAGATCTTCTAATTCTGAGAAGGGGCCAGGAATATCATTATGGGACGGATATCCTTCTACCTATTTCAACAGAAAAAGATATGAATAACTGATAATTAGTAATGGAATTTATAGAATTTTAATATATTTATAAATTTTATACAATATATATATACAATTGTGTGTTTATATTGTGCATTGTAAATGTGTATATAGATTAAAAGCAAGATGCTGAAAAACAATTCTGTGTGAAATCAAAGCTGGTTCTTGGTAGAGATACAAATTAACAAGTAACAGCTAAAAAGTAAACATAAGTAAACAGCCAGAAATAGAACCAGAGCTTTCGGACAACACTCCTTCCATAGTGGCAAGTGAAAGAGGGAGAAAAAGCCAGATAGTATGAGAGTCATGCAAGCATGATTAAAAACAATAGGCTAGGTGAGGTAGGGCAGTGAGATTGAATAAAAAAAGAATGCCAAACTTTAACTATATATGTGTATATATTGATTATATATTATATCTGTCTCTTATACACATCTAGATGTGTATAAGAGACAGAGCCTAGACAGCTAGCCTACAGTATTTTATTGATCAGATAAATAAGACTATCCAAGTACACAAAATCATTAACAATCAATAAATATTCTATACACAAATATTTTAATGAACTGTAGTAAGACATCATTCTGTTTAACGTTGTGCAAATTTTATCTAATGACCCACTAGATCAAGTAGGTCGTCAAATATGTTGGTGCGTCAAATTTCTCAAATATTTTTCTTGACCACAGCTTGACGTTTGAACTCCTGGAACTCAATAAGGAAATAAATAATTCTTTACCATTTTAAAGCTCTCTTTTTATACTGTTTTAAGCATGTTTATACTTGCAACGATAACGATAAAAATCTAAAAAGCAATTGTTCATATAGAAAATAAAAGAAATATGAGAAGTTCAACACTAGGATGATTCGATAACAATAAAAGAAATAAGAGAAGTTTTACACTAGGATGATTTGATAATGATTTGTCATGTATATGATAACAAAATAATTTCAGAAATCAATTCAAATGACATCATAATCATGGAAAAACAATAAAATCATTACTACCAGAATGTTATCGTTTTTCAACGATTATGACATCATTTGAATTGATTTGTGAAATTATTTTTTATTGTATACACGATAAAATCCTTATTGAATCATTGTAGGATAATAACTTCTTATAACTTTTATTTTCTATATGAAAACTTGCTTTTTAGCTTTTTATTGTTATCATCGCAAATATAAACAGGCCTTAACCCTGTATTAATAACTAAAGATTGTTTTTTGGAGGAGTAATAGGTTTGGCTTGTCTTTACCTCATATATTGATTTATGTTTTAAAATTGAATTTGAACAGATGAAGGAAAGACTAGCCGCAAGGAAAAATGCAAGGAAAGAAGCAGAAGAAAAGAAAGCAATGGAAGATAGGAAGAAGCAAATAGAAAACGATTCAGCAACGAATTCTCCAACACCGTCATCTGCACAATCTGGAAGGCGCTTGGTATGTTTCTTGTCTTTTAAAGTTTTGTTCTCAAACACTTGTGATTTGTCATATAAGGGCATATTGATGTCATCCACATGCATATATGGGCATGATGATAAACTATAAAAAAAAAAGAATGAAAAATTAAATACAATGTTTAAAATATTTTTTAGACATAAATGATATACTTGTAGGCCTATCAGAATGATAATAAGATTAGTATAACAGCCAAAGTAGACATTGAAGAGGATGGACCTTCAAGAACATGCTCTATATATTTTTTTCAGTGCTTTTTATTAAATCTTAAAATTTCTTGTTCCCAATTACAGAGGAGAGTTGAGATTTTAGAGGTAACAAATCCTGTCCTGGTGATTTATTATTAAATATTTGTAAAAATGGTGCCAATTTTCTATTTAAAAAAGCTACTGTTGTTACTGCTGGTAATTTTTGTGCTTATGCTTACACAGAGCAAGAGACATAAACAGACCCAAACACACACCCAAAAACGTTCCCAAACACACACACCCAAAGACAGACCCAAACACACACACCCAAAGATAGACTCAAACACACACACCCAAAGACAGACCTAACACACACACCCAAAGACAGACTCAAAACACCCCAATTACAACCATCACTTGCTTTTATGGTATTTTGATTTATTTTTTATATTTTGATTTCTGTGTTATAAATGTATTCTTTCTGGGCCTACGAATATCAGCCTAACTGGAAGGGCTACCTTCTATAAAGATTGTTAAAATAAGTATATTACGTGTCTGCTTCTTTTTAAGCTATGTTGATGTACACTATTATTTATACAAACATGGATAACCGACAGTTGCCAACACTTTCAAACTGAACACCCTAAAAAAATAAATAATAAAACCATCATTAAAGTGTGCTTTGTACCTATTTGTGTAATTTGTAGCTATGGTTATACAGCATATATTTATGGTTTTATGTGGGGAATAAAAAAAATTAAAAAATGGCAATGCTAGGAAGGTATGTTCCCTTTCATACAAGCATTGACTTCTCTGTACTTTCCCCATGTGACCTTCCACATGCTGCTCCTTCCCCATACCACCTCTGTATTTCTGCTACTAGTTGATGATATTTTATTCCCATAGCTAATTGAGAAAATAATTTTTTTCTAATACTGTATTTTTCTTTATAATCATTGTTGGTAATTGTGAATATGATGAGGCTTTCCATCCCAAATCCAGTGTACTGTTGCTAATAGTTAAACTGAGTAATGAGCATAAGAATGTGTCAGTATTGTATACTTCAGTACAGAGAAGATGTAATACTTTTACTCATAGCTTTGGCAGTAGTAAGTCGATTCCAGTAATTGACCCAACATTTTAAAGCTTACAATATGGAGAATAAGAATATATTAAAAACTCAATGTGCATTTGTTGGTCACTGACGCTGGTTTTGGGAAGGCAAGCCTCATATATGTGAGGCCTCACCACAAAACAAGTCTCATGGTTAGAATATCAAAAATTGAGTTTATATTATATTTGGGTAGATCACATTATATTCTTTAATTTGGTCTTTGAATGGCTTCACTAGGATATGTAGATCCAGAGATGTGAGCATTTAAATATTATGTGTAAAAGAACCACATTTTGAGAAAATCGGCCTCCAAGATAAACTAACCTGTACAAATAATAGGACTAGAATTACAGAATATGCACAGAGAACACTGTTTTAGTAAGAAAATTCACTTAAAAAGTTTACGATCATTAAATATAAATATCAAGTTATTCAAAAACATTAAAATCAAAATTGTGTAAAATTTTGACTTATGACCTATTTTGGTGATTATCTCAAAATGATTTTACCGACGATGCGTCTCATTTCGTGGTGAGACCTCACATTTGTTCTCAATTCTCTTTAGCATATTGGCGAAATATTTAAAAAGTAATATTGTATTTTTTTAATACTGCAATTATTGATGCTAATAGTAAATACATGTTCTTAATCAGCCTATTGGTGAAATATCAGAGAAGAAACAACAGGAAATGTTAAATGTGCTGAAAGCAGAACATAGTTCACAACAGAAGAAGCTGATGAGAGATAAGGAGAAGCAAGCTGAACAGGTAAGTGCCCTTCTCTCTTCCCTTCCCATTATTTTGTCGGGCCATCTCCCTCCATTGCTCTGTCGATCCTTCATTATCACTCTTCTCTTTAGTCTTTCTGATATAGTTAAGTCTTGTACATACTATGCAAACCACCAACTGACAATATTGTCAGAAATTATGAATTACATGATGTGTCCCTCATTGTCTGTGAATCAGTTGTATGATGATACAGTGTTGCAACCACTAGTTCATTTGGTTATAATGATATAGTGGTCATTAGAGAATCATTAGGAGGGAATATTAGTCCCTCACACCTTGTGTTGTTTTATATATATTAGACACTTTTTAATGTAAAGCGCATAGAGACAGTTTTGCATTAATGACAAATAGAAAATAGTATTTTTAATAAAATTATTAAATTTTTGTTTCAATTTCAGTTGCGACAAAAGTTAGCTGGACGTAAGAAGAAGTATGAAAATCAAGCAAGTCAACTACTTTCGATGGGAGAAAGGCAGAAAACATTCGTTGAGAAGGTTAAAAAGGTAAATGTCCTAATTGTATTTGTGCCTTTGTTTATCCTTAGACATAAACTGTACTCTTTTTCTATGTCATTATAAGGATGATAATGATTATAATGATGTTGAAGAAGATAAGGAAATAATGTGGCACACTGGTTAAGTCTGGGTTCATGATTCGAATCTAAACCTGGTAACATCAATTCAATTCTTGGGCAAAATCCATATCTCTCTCCCTCAGGAGCATGCATGGGTACCTGGTGAGATATGAATGACAAAGTTATTGTTCTGAGCTGAATCACATGTGTGACAAAAAATACCTGGGGGTGGGGGAAGATGTGTATGATTAAATCTGTATTTAATTAACTGGAAATACATACTAAGCTCACAAAAAAGATACCATCGCTATGCAAGGATGACAATACTCGTAATTTTAATTGTTGTTTAATATTTTTCTTTCCTTTACAGGATGAATTAATGAGACAGAAAACAATAGTACAAGACCGAATACAGAAGGTCCGATACGAACGAACTCAGACAATGAAAATGATATCGGAAAATTCTAAGAAATTTCAGCAGATGAAAACATCTGACCATGACAAGGATATGGAACGCATAGCTAAGGAAATGGAGGAAAAATTCAGATCATCAGAACATGCATTTAAGTCTGGAACTAAAACTGTAAGTTTCCCCTGAAAATCAACCATGCTGAGTAGGACTTTCTGTTTAAATATTAATTTAGAAAGAAGGAAAGAAAGATTTGTGCTATACACCATTTTTTCTAAATTTGAAATGAAAATTTCTGAGAAGCTGGCAACTACCACCGAGGGAGTTACAGAGGCCTAGGCATTTCGCTCTACGTAGTTACCTGTGTTTTACTGTGCTCTGTGACTGGTGCACGCCCTTGTCTAGGCCAATGCTAGTCTTTGAAAACAAAATGCCAAAACAAAAAGAAAATAGGGGTGCATAAAACCTGCAGTGTTTTTGGTTGTCTGTTTTTAATACTCAACATAAGATCTTGAGTGTCTGGAAAAAAGAAATTTGCTCCAGCTAGGCTGCTGGATGTCCCCCAGTGAAAAGTTGCAAAAAGTTGATGGCACTGCTTCAAAATTGACCCGATAAAATGGTGTCCACAAATTGATTAATCGATACATTATCATCATTAAACATAATCAGGTATTGTTTTTTCATCCTGCAATTCCTTTTTGAAATTGTGTCTTTGACAGTCTGGTTATATTTTCATATTTCTTTCAAGGGTCTCGGAATTATGGTTTGTTGTTAGTTGTCTCAATTGTATTATTGCTCATTTGATTGATTTATTTCTCATATAATTTATTGCTGAATTGATTAATGTATATATTGATTGATTAGTCTATTGGTTGGCTTGTTGATTGATTAATAATTAATCTGACATTTATTTTTACAATTATTTTAAATTACCGAAGAAGCTGAAAATTATGGCTTAAAACTGTTGATTTTAACTTTACTTTACTCCAAGCTTAAGGATATAGTTCCAGAAGATGAGTAACTATATGCTAGGAATATTCAGGTAAAAGAAGTGCATTTTTGTGAGGAAAAATGCACAATTCTTTCATGTGTCAGTCACTACTGATGTGCATGTCTAACAACCCTATTGGTCAATGGATTCTCCTTAGTGGCCATTGAGATGACTCAAAATATTTTTCTTCCTTTGTTATAATATTGTAAATATTCGAATAGTTTCATCTGGTTTACTTATAATGATTGTAGAACTGTGTAATCAATAATAACCCAAGCACAATTTGATGTAAAATTACTGCGAGCTTTTGTCCTATGTTATCAACGTGACTTCGCCAGCCTATGTGAGCTGGCATCCTTCTTTTGGGCATTGTGTGAACAACACCCTGAGCAGTGCCAGCTCTCTTCCTCTCAGGATTGGTTCCGGGGGCCCCGCTTTCACGTTGAAGGAGTTGTTCATATATGTGTGATCCATGTGATGGATCTTTACCATGTCTTAACTGGGATGATGCAAAAATAACCAAAGTGGAATTGATATGGGACAAAAGAAAAATCATGGAGGCAATCTCAATAAGGAAACAAAAAATGGACGATGAAGAGAGACAATGGGGCATACAAGCTTTCCCACATAATCAACTCCTTCAACCTGAAAGGCCAGGGTTCCTGGAACCAATCCTGACAGTAAGAGAGCTGGCACCAGAGGACGCTGTTCACACAGGACCCAAACAACGGATGCCAGCTCACATAGGCTGGCGAAGTCACGTTGATAACATAGACGAAAGCTCGCAGTAAGTTAACATCAAATTGTGCTTGATTCATTAATGATTAAACAGTTCTACAATAATATTGTATTCTTTGTCATTTTAAATCTATTATTAACACCACAGATTGTTTACTGCACTTCTATCACATAAGGTGTTTTCTTTTTAATGCATCATGGCATACTCCCATACTGGTCTTGAGTTTTGTAATCAAAGCATGGGTTAACCTCAAATTTTATTTTTTTAATTTGTTTATTGGTGATTACAAAAGAAAATGCATATACAGTAATATACCTATACAATATTAATAAGTTAATCTTTCCTAAAACTTTCCTGCAACCCTAACCCAGGTGTTCAACTTTTAAAAGCTTTGGTGATTTTTTTGGCATCTCTTTTTCGCACATTTTGTTGTGGTTTTATTTTGGGATACCATATTCCTGATTGTTTGATGTGAGTTCACAAGTTTAATCACATAGGTGTGATGAATCAAATAGGATCACAGATGTGATGATACAGTTGTGATAAAACATATGGAATCACATAGGTATGGTGAAACCAGGCGCAGATCAAGTAGGAGGCACAGGAGAAACGTGCCCCCACCTCCCGTTTTTCAACTAAATTTTAAAATTTTGAGGCATATTAATGTTATGTATTATAAAAAAAAGCGCTACTCACTGTTCTTAATATGTTGTGCTTCCTCATTCTAAAAATTCTGGATCCACCCCTGGAAACACAAGTGTTATGAAACATATAGGATTTTTCCTGATGGGATGACACAGGTATGATCACACATGTGTGATGATTAATAAGTAACAAATTATGCAAACATGGGACAACTTGTTACTGTACTGTCAAACCATGAATAGAAGCCTAATGGGCTTACCTCGAGAAGAAGCCCATCTTGAATTGAAGCCCATGGGTTTCTTTTCAAGATAGAATGACTTCTTTTCGAGATAGTACAGTACATACACTGTACATAAATTTCAAAGAAACAAAATAAGTTATACAGTTTATACAGTAGTTTAGTTGATACAATGCCGGTTAATACACTTATGATACAGACTGATGTTACAGTGGCCCTATTTATTGTTTTATAGTAGTAATTCCCAAAATTTACAACAGCATTCATTTTGAAAAGAAGCTCCACTCTTTACTTTGTAAAAGTAGCCTTGAAAAGAAGCCAATCTCAAAAAGAAGCCTATCCAAAGTTCGGAAAAAAAAATTTTTTTAAAAAGCCCAGGGCTTCTATTGAAGGTTTTACAGTATATTGATTTAGTACTATACTGTAATGCTGGGAAAGGAAGTAGGCAAGAGTATATTTCTTGACCCACCTGACATTTCTGCTTCACCAAGTGGATTAAGCTAGTTAATAATAAAGATTATAACATGGAACTGCAATCTTTAAAATCTTTTATAAGTATTTCTTTGATCACTATATTTGTTTATTTCAGGATTCAACCAATGTCAAGCCTGTGGAGGAGGACACTAAAGAAGCAAGTCATCAGAAACTCGGAGATAAAGAACGGCAGAGACTGATCAAAGAAAAACAAGCTGAAAAAAGGAAGAAAAAGAAGAGTGTAATGGCAGCACCAAATATGGAAGCATTGTCAGAAATGCTAGATGAAAAAAAATAGTTGTGGAAATTATATTTATATTATTACTTACAATTTAGATTGGTAGTCCTACATTCTCTACCCTGGGTTTTGGCCTTAATTATGTTTGTTCCTAGAATTACAATCATTTGGTGGTGCTGTTAACAAAAATGTCAACATTACGTCGCTCACATCATGAACTAATACAATCAACAATTTATGGGTTTCAAAGGCTTATTTAATCGATTTTTACAGTCAACTAATATTTACAAAATACATATAATTTTTTTCTCCCCAACGAATTATGGTTTTTCTCCCCGACGAAGGGGGAGGGGGCTCAGCTATCTCCGAAGGGGCCCTGGCCCTGTTTCTTACTATTGAAACTGCATTACAATGTTCGGAACTTTGTATACAACTTTACCATTATCCTAATTTGTAACTTCTGTTGTATTTATCACATACCGGTACATCTCAGTATTCTTATTCTCTAAATTTATCTTATACTTAATAGAGTCTTGTAAGTTTGTAAATTTTTAACATTGTTTAAACTTGCAACTGAATTTTGTGTGCTTTTGTATCAGCAAATAAGTTAATAACATGATCAAAGTTAGCAATGTTGTCTGCTTCATCACGCTCAATACTAAGTAGTGCCAAAGCAGATAGTCTCGCTTTTCCCATCGTGGCTCTGAGATATGACAGGATGAGCTTTAGTCATGTAGTCATTACAGAATAGGATAAAAGACAAGAGAAAACGGTCGTCATGTATTTCTAAAAAGTGCATATTTTTTTACTCTCATTCTCCTATTTCAGCGCCCCCTCAAACATGGCGCCCGGGGCATGTGCCCCCCTTTGACCCCCCTAGCTACACCACTGGTACTATTCTAATGTGATAAACTACTGTAAGTAATCTTTAACTATGCTATGTGCAGCTTGTCATATACACTTAAAATAAAGAAATCAGGATGTTCCCATTTTAGGCTGGCATTAATAAAAAATGATACTTGCCAAATGATGTAGGACTGCTAATTTATGATATTTTATGAAAATTAATTATATATAAATTATATAAATTGTATATGTTGCTATCTATAAGTTGCTATTTCATATGGATATTGTATCAGTGAATGATGCAGAAGATGTTTATGGGTGAAATTTTATGAAGGAGTGGAGCTTGGTGGATATAAGGCTTACCTTCCATTCCTGAACCCCTGACTTCAAATGGTGATATACAATTGATACTCAGAATAGGAAAAGAAATGCCCCCCTCCCAAGAATATATATATATATATATATATATATATATATATATATATATATAAAATAAATAAATAAATAAATAAAAAGAAAATCCTCCTCTTCGATTTGTACTAAAAGTTTTAAAAAACTACTGTATGAATGAAGTGAGACTTAGACTTTAGTATGCTAGAATCTAAATTTTAAAATTCAGTGGCACTCAACCATTGTGGTGTATTAATGAATGTATGATGTATTGGGGAAAATAACTATAAAAGATAACAATTTAGTTATTATTTTCAATTGCTCCCAGAGGCCCAATGATCAGCTTTGCTGGACGGGTACCCTCTGAAAATAAAGTTTAATAAAATAAAAAACCGTATTAACTATTGTCCTACAATTATATATTCATAAAAATAACAATACACATCTTAAGCTTGTTTTCCATACAATCGCTACACGCTATCACTGACGGCTTTCAGTGGTGCCGATTGGTTGGTCGAATTGGGGCGCCTTCCCGAATTTATCGGGGACTGCTACACGGTAAAACAATTGCACTGAAAACACTGTAGCGAATTTACGGGGGAAAAAACACCAGGCTTAAGTTTCATTATTAGGGAGCTTTTGATTTGTGCGACGACGCGACGCTAGTATGGAATCACTCATGCGTGACCGTCCTACCTGGCGGCGTCATACGTTCTTTGTAAACGTAAATTTGGCCAAATTGCGTTCCAGAATCTGCTTGACGAGGTGACCTTAATATTCGTGCATGGGCAGATGACTTTTAGTGACGTCATTACGTACTACGTCCGACCGTCGTCGTGCAATCGAAAGCTCTTTAGTATTCATTACTAACTTTGCTTCAATTAAAAACATTGCATTAAACCTCGTCCAGACTATCATTTTCTTTGACAAAAAAACTGTTGTATTCCCATATATAGACATGATGTGCCTATATATTGTCTTGATATGATGATCATATTTAGGTATGTCACATGTTTTTGTCAAGCAAACTTTGATAGTCTGGACAGAGCTTTACAAACAATTCAACTCTTGTGGTTTTGGGATGTTTATATTTTCAAGAGGCATTAGAAACGCTTAGGACTTCCACTTATTATTAGAGAGTTTTCTGTTGCGCGTAATGACGTCACGCGCATGCGAAAACTTTCATTTATCGTCTCCGAATCCCACGACGTGCTTTGGGTCGAATTTAAGTTCAGTAGAGAACACAGAACAGTCACGGATGAGGTCACAAACGTACTTATCGTTGTGGTGGAAAACTCTCTAAAACATTAGTGTAGTTTGGTTGCAGCCGTTGTAGAATTCAAAAAATTTAATGAATTCATGAATAAATTTTTAAAGAAGGTACAGTATATGATTGATTGGTTCTATTTTTTTTACCATTTGTATTATGTATCCTTCAGTGTGTCATTCAATAACTGTTCCAGAGACAGAAATGTGGAAGATAACCTCACCCACCTCATAAAATAATTTAGGCCCTGATGGGCAGTGGTTAATGATTAATATAACCGGTAATTGATAATTAAATAAGACGACGTACATAGAAAGGAATAACAAACAGAAAAGAAAATAAGAAATTGAAAAATAATTGTGACTTAGGTTTTTAAACAAACGTTTAAGTGCATCATGTTAATTTAAATGACGTCTTATATACATTTCATTGACGGCTGCATTTTCCGAATTTGTTTTAATAGGGGAATAATTTAATTTATAATTTATGTCACAAAGACAAGAATGAGGATGAGACGCTGCCTTTTCTTTTTCTTTTCTATCTTTGCAAAGATGCCCAGAAGACACGTCAGATAGTTGTTTGCATTCTACCGTGGATTGGCGATATACAAACCCCTGTCGATTGAATGAATGCTTGTATGATTGATTGATTGATTGATTGATTGATTGATATAACTACTACAGGGATCCCAAGTCTCTCGGAACTCGTGGGATCTTCCGCACTCCCGCAAGCCAGCAAAGATCTCCCGGAAATAACCCATCTTCCACGAATTGAATTTCTTGTATATTTGCATGTTTTCAATATATTTTTACCAATTGTCTCGTGGAAGTCAGTGCCGGCGTATCACTAAAATGTGATTTAAAAAAAAGGATCATAACCACTGTGGATCATTGGAGGATTCAAGGGGAGGGTGTACAGCCTGCCCGGGCCCCCAAATTTCTTCAAATTATAACAAAAATGGGGGAAAAATACAGTATTATATATAAGTCTGAGATTGTCATCCGGCCATCTAGAGGTGACATAATCATAAATTTTCTTGCCTTAGCCCCAACCATGTGAAAGTTCCTCCCTGCCTGGTCCTCCTCTATTTCGGATTCCTTGATCAGCCACTGTAGATCTCCCGGAAATCACTTCTTCCAATTGGAACCCCTGTAACTATACTAGATTTTATCAGTGCCTACTGTCCAATTTGTAAGTTGATACCAAAGTTGATGCTTTCTAAATGCCAAGTAGTGAGGTCTCACTTCATTCTTTTCCGGAGAGACATTTCACCCTTAAAAGAATTATTAACCCTATTTTCTTTTTTAAAATGTGAAATAATATAGTAAAATTCTCTCTGGATAGGGAAGACTTTTACTACTCTATTTTCGTTTTTTTTTTATTTCACTTTTTGGGAGTAAGTCCACTGAAAGCTCTAGTCTCAAACACCCTTTTCGCTATTTTGCATTTGAAGAATAACTTTTATCCTATGATTAGAAATACAAATTTTTATTAGAATTTTATACTTATAAAATAGCTTTTTACCACAAACCGTGTATCATTAATTAAAAGCTTTCAAGATTATTATTGTTTGGGAATTCGAGTTCTTAGTCCACATTTCAAGCGCCCTGAGCATCTTACATTAGATGGATATGTGCTCTATATAAAACTACACTATTATTATTATTATTAATTGCGGCTGGTGAAGATATTATTTGGATCAATATCATAAGTTGGGGTTTTGGTTAATTCGAAACTCTCAGTGTTATGATAATTCAAATTATTATCCATATCGATTTTACCATATAAACAAGACCACATAAAATCTAAAACCTAACTGCGTGTGTCTACCATACAGAATGATGAGAAGAATTTTCAAAATATTTGGTTAATAACGAGGGTTGTTTACAATATATCGGTTTTTGTTTACTTTCGAAAATACAATCGTACAGTACTTTCTTTGGCCATGAGTCGTAATTTTGGATTTACCATGCAGGTATTTGCACAAAACTAGAGTATTGTGTTTCTAATACATTTTCATTTGCTATCACCATCCGTCTTGTGGTGGCTTCGTAAATTTTCCGACAAGGGTTAGAATGAAGGAGACAGATTTTATGGTTTAGGATGATAAATTATGCTTTTTGTCCACAATATTAGAAAATACAATCATGTTAACTTGTTTTGATTGGAAAAGTAATACATTGATATATTTTTAGTCAAACGACCTCAACTGGCATCCGACGGCCGGAAATCATGCTTGTCTGACAGAGGAAGGGGAAGGGAATTTTTACCCCCGACGATGGAGCCGCCAAATCCTCACAGATGGCCTGTAGACCTTTTCAATTAACAGTGTGTTTCATCAACATCTTCGTCATTATGTCCTGAGGGATGGATCTAGGGTTGGAGACCATGGGGGCTAGAGGCCCCAAAAAAAGGAGAGGAAAAGTAAAGGAGGAAGGGTGCAGTGTGGGGTGGGGGGCCTGGTGAGAAGAGATACATATTGAAAGCGCTGAATGATACATATAAAAGTTGTCATCTGTGTAGAACCTTTGGGTTTGGCGCTTCTCACATGACGCATGGCCCCAAGATTTTTCTCTGGATCCGCCCTTGGTCTTCATCATCATCATAATCCGTACCTGATGATCTGTTTGGCTTCTGGTGCATCTCAGCCCCACTATTTTGGATCTACACATCATAACCGGATCTTCGCTTAGACCTGAGTAATGATTCGTTGAATGACATTTTTGCCACAACGAGTCACACTGAACAAACAAGAATTCAGAAGATTAGTTACTTGACGTTTATTAATGAGTACAATTTCAAACACAACAAACACATTATAATATTTGGTTATAAAAGTTATTCGTAAAGCTCAGAAATATCAGTGTACATAATACCTGTACTGACATATACACATTGGAATACTCTTTGGTTAAAAATTGTTAAATGAATAAATTAACATAATTCAGTTGAAGTACGGTATATAATTAATGAGTTTAAAGAATTATTTATCAAGGTGATGGCGAATACTAAACTACTCTTAATCTAGAAAACACAAATCGACAACATAATTTACTAATGCTACTAGTACTCTCTCTGATAATTAAAATAATTCCAGTTACTCTTGGTACTTGATTTTGAAATGTCTTCTTTTTTTTCGTATTTTGTTCAACTGATGTAAGCATAATTTGTGCTATATTGTTATACATGTTGTTAAATGTTCGGAATTACTTCCCAAATATAAAAATGACAACGTTTTGCTGGAAAATTGGTTTTAAAGAATTTTATACAAATTTGTTCGCATTGCTCCATGATTTAAAAAATGAAGTAGATCCACTGTGTCCTAGAAGACCTTATGAAAATATGCCATTTCGTCTGTAGAAAGAATCCTTTACAATTCTTGATCTGCCCCATTCTGGTGCACGGAATTCTTTGACCACATCATCCAGCTTCCATCCATACTCCCATGAACTTGTAATAGGGAATTCATATTTGTCCTCTGGTTTCTTCAATTTTCTTATTTGCAAATATGCGTACCGTCCAGTGCCTTCTTTGCTGAATCCTTTGTACAACTGGTCGCGGATTCCCCTTGTAACAGGTCTCATCTCCACTAACAACGCATCAGGATCATTTGCAGCCAATGCTGCCAAATCTGGCTTTTTCGTTGTCCTCTCCTTATCTAACTCTTCCTCTCTTTGATCTTGTTTTTTTGTGTTTAGTTCAGGAATTGCATGTACCTTTGGTACCATATTCGGCCTGCGTTTGCGGGCTACACCTTGTTGTCCCTGTCTGGACTCTCGAGCGAATTCTTTGCTATATTTCTCGTGCCATGCTAACCTGGTATATGCTTCCTTGTGAATGGATTCAGTCCAAAAATTCTGACGTTGCACATCAAATAATTGTCGCATTTTCACATATAATAATACACACCTATTTTTGTGAAGAAAGTAGAAGTTTCTGTCTTTTACTGGTGGACTTTCAACCCGGAAGCACGCTCGCTAAGCAACTTGTGTATTTTCAGTAGACCATGGTGTGAGGTTGCTAAGAGATAGGCTATACCATTTAATAGTAGGTACAGATGTATATTAATTATTGGACTTCTGGGTAATGTTCATATTATATTTTATTTAAAATTATAATGAAACATAAATAATAGATAATAAAAGCTATTAATATATAATAGATAAGATTACAAGACAACACTGTTATTATTAACAAATAGAAAAAATATTGTAAAGAATAATGGTTCAGCTCTACCAATAAAACCATTGAGGGCGTCTTCCAAAGTATGTCGCTGCGCATGAGCTGACAGTTACCATCCATCCATTCCAGTCATTTATGTAATCAAATCTTTGGTGGCCGCCATTTATCGCTGGTATTTTCGAACTAATTAGAAAAATATATTTGCAATATAAAACAATGACAACATTATTAGAGACTACCGGTATGCGAGAAGTAGATGTATTTACAGGACCTCATTCTCGGATGAAATATCTAGTTCATCTTTACAGTGAAAAGGTGATTCGATGTTGTCTTTTAGACACCTAGCTAGGCTAGGCTCTCTGTCGTTCGTTGGTTTGTTTTTCCGGCTACCGCCTGGGAGACCCCTGTGTGAGGTAGCGGCTCATGTCACAATAATTATTGGGCAGATATAGTAGGCCTAGCCTAAGATCCTTCTATGTTAGTGCCCTCTAGGCCCAGTACTCTTATCTTAAATCATATAAGCCTAAATCATGTATTTTACACAGTATGAGTTCTATGCCTATAGTATTATTGAAAAGAAATCTTATCTTACAACAAACAATAATTCACAACAAGACCCCAAAACAAAAAGACAGTGATTCAGGCCTTTTGGTTGAGTCTATGTAGACTGGTTCATCATCACCAAAAAACACCAGGACCAATTTGTGGATTTTTTTTTCAAGCACAGCCTCTCTGCTACAGTTGCCAATTGATCCTACTAAGTCTAAACATCACACAAGGGAAATTTTTGAACGCCTGAGACTTCTCACTGACACATTTATAAATAAATATTTCCTTATTTAGAGTAGAGACGATAATTGTTAATTTTGTGTTCCGGTGATATAAATAGTCTTTGGGTATCCTGATTTTGATGTCTCATTGTTGTTGGTATAAGTTTTTTATATTTACATGGCCTACTTTTATATTTTTTAGCTTTAGGTATATATTTCAAATGAGGTGTGATTATTTGGGTATTAATTAAATGCAGTAAAGATTATCAAGGTTAATTATGATGGATTATTTTGTCCACAAAAATATTAACCCAATAATTATGCATAATTTTTCACAGCTAAGTTCTACAGACTTTACTAGTTATGCTGATTTGAAAGCCCTCCTCCTAAGTTTGGTATCAACTTTTTCCGAGTTCAAAAACCATGAACACATCGAGAACAAATGCATCATGCAGAAGCTGCAGAATCGACTCAATTTTCTGCATGTGGAAGTGACGGCTGTCAATCAAGTTCACTCTGACAACCATCTCTCTGAGATGAAAGATATGCTGGAGGACTTGTACAAGAAAGTTGACATGTGCTTGAGCCAGATAGAGATGGAGCAAATGGGGAAAGAGGTGCAGCAAGCACTCCAGGAGTTCACGCAGGACTTCTTGCCACACATGAAGGAAGAAGAAGAGGTGAATACATATATTTAACATATTTCTTTACAACTTACAAGTTGCCTTATAATGAAAGACCATTTTGCTGTAGCCCCGATAAATGCCTACATTTTATGAAAGTTATTTTTATTATTAAAGACCAAAGCTGCTAAAGACAAAATATAAAATCATATAAAAAGGAAGTGTAGGGGAAAGCAGGAACAGTAATGCGCAAGGAAGAGATAATAATATTTTGCTTCTATACTTGTGCTTGCTGGTAAGAATACTAGCTATGTCGCTTTACGGATCATACTGTAACAATTTATTGATGTAATTATTGGTTCCCATTCTGTAAAGCAATAGGACCCTTTACATTTGTCCCTACATGCATCTGTACATCATGAAATCATCAAATTTGTCAAAAGTTTGTAAACTTTGAATTTTCAAACACACGTTGGTTATTATGAATTTTTGCATGTACATGGACCTTTCTGCTAAGCCCCGCCCTTGGATACTGTTGCTAAGTTTCCTCAAAACAGCAGAGTAAATGTATGTACTCTAGTCCTGTTCTGATTGGTCATTCTTCAGTTTGATTGACATTTCAGAAAGGTCCATTGCGTCCTATTGCTGGGATAAATATTAGGTAGTTTTAGCCGCATGGCGTTAAAATTAACGTTAACGGATGACGTCATAATTTATTCATCTTGCGTGACGAAGTACATAAATTTCAGGATTTTACATGCTTAACGTACGTTAGTTACAGGTTTGCGCATGTGTTTTTTGATTTGCTTACAAAAAGAGGCGGAGCTTTTGCGTTGCATTTTGGGTACTAACATTAAAGTTAAGGTAAATGTCGTGCGGTGAAAACTACCTATTAGAGCAATACACAAAAATTTATTACCCCCTACCATCCAAAACTCTATATAATCTAGCGTTATATAATAGTATAACAGTGGATTATTGTATGTATATTTTTATGAAATCCAGAACAAGTTGGTTGATGGTTGACCTCTCCATATGATAATTGGACTCCAGGGAATGTACCAAAAATGCAACGACTATCACATTAGATTAGAGAACATTAAAAGTCCCTAACTTTTTTACCTGGATAGTAAATTTAAAAAATATATATTTTGAGCTCTTTTTAAAGAAAAGTCCTGGATTTGTTTCCTTATTTCTATTTACATCATTACAAAAAGTGTAATATTTTACCAAAAACCTGTATAGGAACATCAGCCTTCGCAGAGGTCTGGTTATTATCATTATTTTCAATTATTATGTAGGTTTTTCAGCCACTACTGATTGAGTATTTTACTATGGATGAATTAATGGAGATTAAGACAGATGTGATGGAGCTTCACTCCCAACTCACCAAGTACGACCCCTATGAGAAAGTATTTTCAGAACATGAACAAGGTATTATGTCTAATCGTGTATTAATAAAGTTCATGCTTAGTTTGTGGTATGCAGGCTCCACCCTTAAAACTTGGAACGATCCTGTTCTGGGATGTTTAATTTGTGGTATGCAAGCTCCGATTAAAGAACGTTTTTTACCAAAAGATGCATAGTTTGATGTAAGCAGGCTCTGGCCTTAAAACCTGAGACGATCCTCCTCTAGGATGATTTTGTTTGGGGTATTCAGCCTTTGTCCTTAGGATTTGCAATGAAGTTACCCCAGGATTTTGAGTTGGGTTTATGCCACTGCTATGGCTTTATGACATGAACATAGATTATAATTTAAATAATAATATGTGATAATATATTAGTTTCATTCTTCCTTATGGCAGTGATTAATAATACCTTCTGTTACTTAATTTGATTCAGATGAATTTGAACAGAGCAAGCTACTGGCTGTACCTGATGAAGTCATGCTTCAGGTGTTCTCTTACCTGAGCCCCAAGGAACTATGCAGGAGTTCACAGGTGTGTTCTCGGTGGTCAAACCTGGCCAAAGATGGTTCGCTGTGGAAACACATCAACCCCATGGACTGGGCAATGGGTAATATACTTTATCTTGAATATGTTTTTAAACCGTCTTAGGATTTGGATGACTATTTGTCACCTCTCCACTCCAAAACTTCATTGATAGAGAATTAAGGGTCCCAAATCGTCAGGCGCTGCTTGCACTTCTAAATTGTCTATTAGTCAGACCTAGATGGCTATACAGTAATGATGGCATAGTACTGTTCTATAGTTACAGACCTTTACTATACCGCATTCTATGTTAGAACTGAATATTATGATAATGCCTGATTATAGTTTTCTGTTTCCGTGTATTTCGTAGGTGATTGGCGGTTTGAACAACCGAACGAAGAAGAGGAGATCTGTGGATGCAACAAAGATGTCCCAGAGTATTATGATGAAGATAAAGATTACGATGAATCTGGCGAAAGTGATGAATCTCAGAGCAGGCCAACGCCAGACTACGTCCTAGCAATAGAGAAAGAGTCTAAGATGCTGCGGTCCATTGCTAGGCATTTGCTACCGGTAGTTGGAAGCAGCGTGGAAACACTGCTCCTGGCTAACAGCTGTGGAATCACTAGCTCTCTGGTAAGCAACCTGTCGTTTAAAAAAAATATATATATATATATATATTATAATTATTTATCACCACTGCTACTTGTTGAATCAAAAGTAAACCTGACACTAACTGACAGTACAATATATTTATATATTCAGTGTTATATGATATTTTTTAACACTATTTATTGTCAATATGTATTGTCTTTCTGGTTTTTTCTCAGTTATATAAGATGCTATCAAATTGTCCTAATTTGAAGATATTAAATGTGTGTCATACACGGGTGTCAGATGTGGCATTCAGAGGGTAATTTATTTTGTCTTATTTTGATAAATTATTTGAAGGAAACAACTGTGGTTGTGGTGGTAGAAAGTGTAATGATGATGGTTGGGAGGATGCTGATGATGTGGCTTTAAGGGTGATGGTTAAAAAGAATGAAGAATCATTTATTCAATAAAGCTAAAAAATATAGAATAATTACAATTGCATTTAATATTTTTTGGTGGTGTGATGAGTGATGACGATAAGATGAATTTATAGTTTGTAGTAGTGGAGGGTGACCAACACAGTTATTGAACAGGGGCGGATCCAGAAAGGTCCAAAAGGGGGGGCCGGAAGGGGGGCCGAAAGTTGGGCCGATTGAGACAACACTGTCGTAGGGGGTCCGGGGGCATGCCCCCGCTAAATTTTTGTGTTCTAGACGCCCGAACATAACATTTGAGGCATTCTTGGCCATCATTTTTTCCT